CCCCCCCCCCCACTCATTCATGACACTGTGCAAACGTTGCTCGCCCCACAGGTTCAGCCTCGGCCCCACCTGACTGCTATTGTCCTGGAGGTGCAGCTGATACCAACACTCACCCAGTCCGCCCTCCACCTCCACAGCTTCTCTTCATTCCGCTCAGTCTGTTCTTTCAGATCGTTCTCGTTTCGTTTGAATTAGATCCTTGTTTGCTTTAGTAAATTTTACATTAGGAGTCATTAACAACCAAATATATTGGCAGGAGGAAAGTTAAGATAAACAGTAGTGGATCAACCGCGTCTCCTGGTTAATGAACTGAACAGTAACTGAACTGTTATCTTGAAATGTCAAAGTGTTTACGACCGACACTGGATTCCATCTCGTGTTTACTGAGTGATTTCCAGATTTAACTGTGATTTAGTTTTCACTGACTCATGTTTAGTTTCACCGAAGGTTTCCTCTCCTCCACACCCAGTGTTGACAGAAACAACCCGTCCCCGGTCATTAACATAGCAAAGAGTTTATTCACAAGACTTTCTCTTTAAGAACAGGTGGAATGTGTAGAAACAGGAGCTTTCAGACAGAGGCTGAAACGAGGAGCTGCAGCACAGTTCGAGGAAAGTGCTGTTTTCTGAACATTAGAGCAAAAAAAAACCTGCTCCAGTAATAACGCTAATTCAAATCAACAACCTGGATATGAACCCGTTCCCTCGGACAAGGTGCCAACATAACATTTCATGTAGAAATCAGAAATCCAGCAGCAAGAGTAAGACACGTTTATCGACATTTTAATTCAGGGATTTATTTCATAGAACATTTTCATAGAGGAAATCAGTATAAATTAAACAGAGCTATAAGTTAAACAGGTTAGTAAATGTTGCTGCTAACGTGCGGAAATCATCTTAAAAGGAAGCGTTTCACTACAAACTGAGACGAGACGATGAAACGAGGGGGAAAGAAACGACTCTACAGGCTGAGTGAAGTTCTTAGAAGTTACAGATAAAGTTTGACACCCCCCCCACCCCACCTTAAAACTGGATATAATTCTGTAAGAAAAACCCTGTGTGTGTTCAACAGGAGCCGACACGAGGATCTGCTGAGGAGGAAACCTCGCGTGAGCGGTCGTGTTGCAGGATGAACAGTATATAAACCTATGTAAATATGTGAATCCTTGATTTGCACGGTCCGTCAGCTTCACAGCACCATCCCTCCGCCCATGATCTCCATCCTCTGTGGGGACGAGAAGAGAAGAGTTCAATTAGAGAAGTGGAAAGTCCTGAATCGACTCCTCCGTCACACGGTAACACGAGGAAAGAACAGAATTAGTCATCAAAAATGAATTTATCTTATTTTTTTTATAAGAAGAAAAGCAATATGAGCCGATTTATCAAGTCTCACAGAGTAATATAATTTTACTGGCTGTACTAAATAAAACGTAATCAAATAAAACAAACTGTTTGACTGTTACGTCTTTAAAAAGACGGAGAAACTGGTTTTTATCTCATAATCTGACAAACGTGTTTTACCAGTGGTTAAATATTACATTAAAAAAAAAAGAGCATAAAAGTGTTACACAACTTTATTAAACACAATTTAACAAACAATGACAAAATTAGCCTATTCTGTCCTCTACTGGTCAAAACGTGAACAGCAGCTGGAGACGATCACCGAGAACAGAAATCATTACAAAGAGACTTTTTGTGATTCTGATGATCGTGATGTTTACCTGAGGCGGTTCTATGAAAGCCAGCCAATCAGACGAGTGTGTTGGGAGCAGCCCCATTGACTGACACTTGTAGATGGCCAACGCGGAGCCCAGGAGGTTTCCGACCAGGTAGACGAGGCCCTGAAGCCACTGCTGACTGGAGCTCTCCAACAGTTTGAAGGCTGAGACACAACAGAGCGAAGGATTGAAGGAAAACGATGACGCGTAAAATTACATGAGCTGTGAAACCGTGTGTGAACTATGAGGATCCTCACTGGCAGACATGGACATGAGGGCCTGAATGGGCCTCCAGGCCATCATGCAGACCATCATGATGGGGAAGATGGAGATGGTGTTGCCCGACATGTACATGATGAACAGGTTCATGGGGATCTGCTTCAGGGGACCAAGAGCCACGTCCCAGCAGCGCTGTGCAACAGAAGGAGACAGAGGATGATTGTCAGCAGCTCGTCAGTGTGACCGTCACGGAAACATTTCATCTTCACATGTTACTCACTGAATCGAAACCTGTTCTTTAAAACCCCCGAGTAAAACTGAAGGATAAACTCTCAGGTACTGCACTTTTGTTATTTTCATATTTACTTACAGAAGTATTTATACCAATCTGAAAATGCTTTTTAAAATGATTATTTTGAGTACAAACTCAACCAGAAGTTGAAATATCTGCGTTAGTATAAAGACGGAACGTTTCGCACCTTCTCCACCAGGTTCTTGTCCGTCTCCTGGATGCTGGTGTCAGGGACGGGTTTCTCAGAGTAGCCGATGGGGTAAACGACGTCGCCCTGACCGCCCTGCCGGTCGCCACGACTCCTGGAGCACAGACGCAAAAATTCAGCTCTACTTTCCCACAATTCACTGAATGTGAGTCTTTGCTGCAGTTCTGTCTCTAATCACATCAAGTTACAAATCCTGGAAACATGAACGGTCACAGTTATGTTCTAAGTTCAGTTTGCGTTCACCTCGTGTTTCCCAAGCTCAGCTCCAGAGCCCATTTCATCCTCCGGGCCGCGCTGCCTCCTCTGGACGACAGAGCTCCTCCTCCTTGTCCCCCTGGAGACGCCATGGCAACCGCCTACACTGCTGGACCTCAGAGACAAAAAGACACCTGCAGAGAATAAAACACCGGTGTGAAGAAATCAGACGCTCAGAGCAGTTAAAGATACTCGACTACATCAAACCAGCAGCTTGATTAAAGTGGAGAGATGGAGAACGTTCGTAAAGAGAAATGAGATGAAATAAAGAAACTAAATGAAGGTGAAGAGAAATAAAATGAATTAAAGAAAGTGTAAA